TGGGATTCCGAGAACGTTCAAAATAAATTCAAAACCCACCCCCAACCATTAAAGTTTTTTTGCTTAAAAAATTGCCGTATTTTATCGAATTTTTATTGTCCCCCGCCTTTCGAAGAAAGCAGGGGACTATTAAAATGGGTTCGTCCGTCTGTCTGTCTGTCTGTCTGTCTGTCGATCGGTCCGTCCGTCCGTCCGTCACACTTTTTGGGACACAATAACTCTCCTTCTACTTGACCTAGAAAGTTCAAACTTGGTGTAGGTGTTTATTAAGTCAATGCCTTGATGGAGTTCGAAGATGAGCATTTTCTGCTTAGGGTAAGCAGAGATAAGCAATTTGATTGGTTGATGCTTTGGGACACGATAACTTTAGTTCTAATTAAGTGAGAGTGATGAAACTTGGTGTATAGTTTCATTACATCAATACCTTGACTAAGTTCGATAATGAGCATTTTCTGCTCGGGGTAAGCAGAGTGATAAGCAATTTGATTGGCCGAGACTTTGGAACACAATAACCCTCCTTCTAATTGAGCTAAAATGTTCAAACTTGGTGTAGGTGTTTATTAGTTCAATGCCTTGATGGAGTGTGAAGATGAGCATTTTCTGCTTAGGGTAAGTAGAGATAAACAATTTGATTGGTTGATGCTTTGGGGCACGATAACTTTAGTTCCAATTAAGTGAGAGCGATGAAACTTGATGTATAGTTTCATTACATCAATGATGCCTGTGCGAGGGATGAAAGCCCTAATTTTGTCGTGTATCCATTCTGTAAAGTGTTTGCATCTGATAGTATACGAATGGGGATCAAAGAGGGGTATTTCATCGATAAATGTGAGCCGAAGTTGGATGGTTTGATTTGAGCCCATTCACATAATGTATTGTTCTCCATTATTATGACGTAATTGCGTCGCACTGTTGTTTCTATGTTTGGTTGCCTGCATTGCTTTGAAAATTATATGAAGCATGTCAGTGGTAAAGTGGCTATCTGGAATGGACGCATTTGCTCTATTTTACGTATATATATATATATATATATATATATATATATATATATATATATATATATTTTATATATATATATTTTTATATATATATATTTTTATATAAAGACAAAGTATTAAAGGGAAGGCACACCAAACACATTAAAGAAATATTGACAAATAAGATAAAGAAATCTACATTACGTAAATATTATGAATCAAATAACAAGAAAATTATGATAAACTTGTTTAAATATTATTACAAACTGTGATGTGACATTTGTTAAGCGCTTAGAAATATCACCGGATATAATGAAGCGCTATAGAAGATGAATAATAATAATGATAATAATACCTTGACTAAGTTCGAGATTGAGCATTTTCTGCTCAGGGTAAACAGAGCGATAAGCAATTTGATTGGCCGAGACTTTGGAACACAATAATCCTCCTTCTAATTGAGCTAAAATGTTCAAACTTGGTGTAGGTGTTTATTAGTTCAATGCCTTGATGGAGTGTGAAGATGAACATTTTCTGCTTAGGGTAAGTAGAGATAAACAATTTGGTTGATGCTTTAGGGCACGATAACTTTAGTTCCAATTAAGTGAGAGTGATGAAACTTGGTGTATAGTTTCATTACATCAATAACTTAACTAAGTTCGAGATTGAGCATTTTCTGCTCAGGGTAAACAATTTGATTGGCCGAGACTTTAGAACACAATAACTCTCCTTCTAATTGAGCTAGAATTTCCAAACTCGGTGTAGGTGTTTATGAGGCAAATGCCTTGATAGAGTGCGAAGATGAGCATTTTCTTGCTTATGGGACATGATTGGTTGATGCTTTGCGACACGATAACTTTAGTTCTAATTAAGTGAGAGTGATGAAACTTGGTGTATAGTTTCATTACATCAAAACCTTGACTAAGTTCGATGATGAGAATTGTCTGCTTAGGCTAAGGAGCAATACGCATTTTGATTGGTCAAGACTTTGGAACATAACAACTCTGCTTCTAATTGAGATAGAATGTTTAAACTTGATGTAGATGTTCGTCTTGACTGAGTTCAATGATTAACATATCGAGTTAAAGCTAAGCAGAGATAAGCCATTTCCTTGGTCGATGCTTTGGGACAAGATAACTTTGATTCTATCTGATAGAGAGTGATGAAACTTAGTGTATTGTTGATAATCAGTTTGATTGCTCGATACTTTTGAAAAAAATAGATGTGCGATTAATTAATATGTGTCATCTATTTATTTGGGGATTTCGGCGGGGGACATCAGCCTCACTGTTGGCTTGTTGTTCTTGATATCTGAACATTTTCTCATTTTAGTATGTGATAAGTATCATCGAGGCGCAGCCTACCGCTAGAAATTCCAGAGATTTGGACCACCGGAAGGATGCTTCAGCAGTCAAAAAAGGTCAAAATAGGCGATTTCGGTTTCTAGTGTCGATACATTGTCAGGTCATTTTAAAAAATTGTCTTTTAAGGATAATGTGTATAGCGATAAAATCTCTTTGCATTTGCAATTTCAAAATTAATTAAAACCAATATTAAATTCTGAAAACATTTTTTTGCTAAAACTCTTTTTTTTTTAAATCGGATCAAAATGGGAGTAAGGCACAGAGTCCGGGGTGGTAATGGGCGTATTGTGTCCAAATTTCATGTTTTTCGGACAATCGGTGCCGGTGTCACGGCAAAATTCCACTTTTTTCCCCCTCATGTAAGCCGTAAATTGACTTAGAAAAAAAAAAACGACGAAAGGCAGGTGACAAGAACAAATGACTTGAACAAATGCAGGTATCACCTTGAAATTTTCAGGGTACCTAGGTACCAACGTGAAAAGTTGCTCACTGGAATTTAGTACTCATGGTACCGTTGGTTCCAGTGTAGCGCATGCGCGAAATCAAAACCAGCTAAACTCGAAAACAACCTTGTCGGCACGGGAAACATCAAAGGCGAAATTCGAATTTTTGAAATATTCAAATACCAAACATTCGACCATTATCCAGGCTATCCTGAAATGTATTAATTTCGGTAATAGGAGACAGATTCTCTAAGCCACGACCAATTGTGTATGTTTTCAAGCCCATTAATGTGGATTTTTCACTAATTTTCATTTTCATTTCAAAATGGCGTCCATCAGTTGACCAAAATCAAAATTCTAAACCGATAGATTTTTAGGCTTTCCTTCAAGGATTCGGAAAATATAATTGCCTTGTCTGTAAGTAAAATATCAAAAAAGCCTTAGGGATTTTTCACATTTCAAGATGGTGGCACTTCCGGTTTGGGCTACAAACTTCAATTTTTGTGTACGAATCAGTAGTGTCGTAGCTAGTAAAGAAAAAAAAATTCAAGGCAATCTGACCTATATTTCGTCGATTTTTTTGAAAACTTTGATCCTTAATTTCATCACGGGGAGATAATTTAGAAAATTTCTAATGACATTTTTCAAGTCGCATTGGCAAGATCTACATACATACTAAATTTCATGAAAATCGTGCAACTATTAAAGAAGTTGTCAAGTTGGTTTCAACTTCCGGTTCGAAATCACAGCGACGAATTTTTAGAAATTCGAAAATCCGAAATTGCAGATTTGAAATAAATGTTTCAATGTACTCAAAGAAAAAAAAATTAGTAAAATAGGTGAAAAAGTCACAAAGTTACAGCAATGTAGGTCAAATGCATTCGTAAGATTTGGTGATTTCGGACGAGTAAAACGTTTTGAAAATATATTCATTCCAAAGCCACCACCCATTCTTGGGGGGGTAAGTCAAAGTTTCAGAAAGATCCTACGGTTAGATTCTGAGATATAAGATTTGCAGGAAAAACACAAAAAAAAAAAAATAATAATAATAATCTTAACAAAAACAATAAGCTTTCATATGTAATACAGACAGATTTAGCTCTTCCATAATGTATGTTTAAAAAGGCATTATGGAGGATTAGATAAATAATAGTTAAAAGATAGATAACATAAATAGAATATGCATAAAATTTCAATCAGATTGCTCGACTTTGTAAAAGGAGATATTAGCTTTTGAATTTTAGGCTACCCTTGATCATCATTACTAAAGTCGGTACAATAAAAGACAAAGTCTCGATTATCCATTTTTACATTTAATTATTTAAAAAAAAATGTATTCCAATCCGCTAAATATTGCAGTCTAGTCATGGCATCGAGAGTTGATTATGGTCTGGATAAGTTAGGTAATGTCTAATTAATATTTTAGATAACATTTCAGGCCTAAAGAAAGACCTGGAATAGAGCTCTTGCATAATGTATGTTTAAGAGAGGCAGAGGATTTTTTCCTCAGTATCCCCAGTGGTCTCATTCCGTTCTACCCCATTAACCCCTGGGTTAATCCATGGATGGGGGGGGTCAAGTTTTCAAGTTATCCGATCTTGATGATTGTGCTATTTTTATCGACCAATCCCATAAATCGTTAATTGCAAAAGAAGTTGGCAAAGGGAAGTAATTCTCATCGGATTATAAAATTATAAAATATATTATATGAATGAAGACCGGACGTTTATGTATGTAGGTTCAAGAGTTTTATTGAGAATAGTTCGTTCGTTCCCAGAGTTTTACGTCCATGTGATATCATCATAAACAGAATGAAGCATTTCAGACAAAGAACGAATAGTAATAATAACAACAAATGTCAAACATATACATGTTATACGTATTTGAAATCAGCAAAACATACTACAGATTTTGATAATGCAATTAAATATAAATGAATCAGGAATATATACATTAGTTACATAAATCTTTCATTAAATGGACTGAATATGGTTATCTACCCTTATAAAAACAAACGCGAAACGACTGGTTTGTAAACTGTTTTTTGATTGGTTTGTAGACTTTAGCTACAATCAAGGCCAGGACAGATAATTTGAAATCGTGGAAACCCTATGGATTAACCCGGGGTATAGTGGAGTAGAACGGAATGAGAACACTGGGGATACCAAGGATGGATTTTATCATACTAGTAATTTAAATTACACATTAATATATTTCAGAAACAATCAATGATATGGGAGCAAGAGTTGTACAACCAGTTCCGATATAAATCACCAAGAGATTATTTTCACACATTTGAATGTGATGTAAGTACATTTTATTTTTATATCTTTTGGTGCACTCACTATTGACCGGATATCATTCCACAAAACAGATGTAAGACTTACGTACATTGAAATTAAACAATTTTACAACTTGTAGGTAGTGATGTACGGTTTTTATACGCCCACATTTTCATGTGGACGTATATTGTCGTTGCCCCTGTCCGTCCGTCCGTCCACAATTTGTTTGTGGACACTCTACAGGTCACAATTCTTACCCGATTTTGACGAAACTTGAAATATAGGTTTATCACCAAAAGATCTTTGCTGCTTTCGATATTGGTATGTATCGGATCGAAACTTGGCATGGATTATGGCCCCTGTTTGTACGAAAAATCACGTTTTTAGCTTGTGGACCCTATAGAGGTCATAATTTTTATACGCCCACATTTAAATGTGGTCGTATATTGTCGTCGCCCCCGTCCGTCCGTCCGCCTAAAGTTAATATCCGATTGACTTTAAATTTATACACAGTGTTTAAGGTCTTGAGACGAAGAAGCCTATTGATTTTCAGCGATTTTCGATAATTACTGCCCGAGTTATGGCCCTTGATCACTTCAAAAAATCTTGTGGACGCTCTAGAGGTCAAAGTTAATATCCGATTGACTTTAAGTTTATACACAGTGTTTAAGGTCATGAGACAAAGAAGCCTATTGATTTTCAATGATTTCCGATAATTTCTGCAAGAGTTATGGCCCTTGATCACTTCAAAAAATCTTGTGGATGCTCTAGAGGTCACAGTTAATATCCGGTTGACTTTAAATTTATACACAGTGTTTAAGGTCATGAGACGAAGAAGCCTATTGATTTTCAACGATTTTCGATAATTACTGCAAGAGTTATGGCCCTTGATCACTTAAAAAAATCTTGTGGATGCTCTAGAGGCTAAAGTTAATATCCGATTGACTTTAAATTTGTACACAGTATTTAAGGTCATGAGACGAAGGAGCCTATTGATTTCCAGCGATTTCCGATAATTTTTGCCAGAATTATGGGTCTTGATCATTATTGAAAAATCTTGTAGATGCTCTAGAGGCTAAAGTTAATATCTGATTGACTTTGAATTTATACACAGTGTTTAAGGTCATGAGACAAAGAAGCCTATTGATTTTCAGCGATTTCCAATAATTACTGCCAGAGTTATGTCCCTTGATCACTTTGAAAAATCTTGTGGACGTCGCTCTAGAGGCTAAGGTTAATATCCGATTTACTTTAAATTTATACACTGTGTTTAAGGTCATGAGACGAAGATGCCTATTGATTTTCAGTGATTTCCGATAATTACTGCCAGAGTTATGGTCCTTGATCACTTTGAAAAATCTTGTGACGTTCTAGAGGCTAAAGTTATAATCCGATTGACTTCAGTTTAAGTTCTTGAGACAAACAAGTATATTGATTTTCAATGAATCTTTTTGACTTGAACAGCTTAATCCATGATGTTAAAAGTTTTGTATACTAAATGTTAGCATGGGGCAGAACTTAATAAAAACCAAACAAATTCTAATGGTTTTCTGATAATTACTTAATGAGTTGTTACTCTTAATCAGATGTTAGTGTATTTTAAATGTTTCAGATCTTAATGTATTATAAATGTTTCATTACTGAAAAAAGTAAAAATATGTGACAACTCTTGTTGACTGCCCGGATGATATAGCAGCTGTGGGCTTATGTTTCGTTGCCTGGCAACCTATCTTTAGCAATTTCAGATAATTACTGCCAGAGTTATGGCCCTTGATCACTTTGAAAAATCTTGTGGACGCTCTAGAGGCCAAAGATAATATCCAATTGACTTTAAATTTATACACAGTGTTTAAGGTCACGAGACGAATAAGCCTATTGATTCTCAGCGATTTCCGATAATTACTGCCAGAGTTATAGCCCTTGATCACTTCAAAAAATCTTGTGGACGCTCTAGAGGCCAAAGTTAATATCCGATTGCCTTTAAATTCATACACTGTGTTTAAGGTCATGAGACGAAGACGCCCATTGATTTTTAGCAATTTCGGATAATTACTGCCAAAGTTATGGCCCTTGATCACTTTGAAAAATCTTGTGGAAGCTCTAGAGGCCAAAGTTAATATCCGATTGACTTTAAATTTATACACAGTATTTAAGGTCATGAGACGAAGAAGCCTATTGATTTTCAGCGATTTCCTATAATTACTGCCAGAGTTATGGTCCTTGATTAAAAAAATCTTCTGGACGCTCTAGGGGCCAAAGTTAATATCCGATTGACCTTAAATTTATACACAGTGTTTAAATTCATGAGACGAAGAATCCGATTGATTTTCAATGATTTCCGATAATTACTACCAAAGTGATGGCCCATGATCACTTTGCAAAATCTTGTGACGCTCTAAAGGCTAAAGTTATCATCCAATTGACTTCAGATTGATACACAGAGTTTAAGATCTGGAGAGGAACAAGTATATTGATTTTCAATGAATTTTTATGTGGACGTATAAGTCGTATATTGTCGTCGCCCCTGTCCGTCCGTCCGTCCACAATTGTTTGTGAACAGTCTACAGGTCACAATTTTTATACGCCCACATTTTCATGTGGACGTATTATGCCGTGGCCCCTGTCCGTCCGTCCACTATTGTTTGTGGACTCTCTACAGGTCATAATTCTTATCCGATTTTGACGAAACTTGAAATATAGGTTTATCCCCAAAAGATCTTGGCTGCTTTCGATATTGGCATGTATCGGATCGAAAATTAATGGATTATGGCCCCTGATTGTACGAAAAATCACGTTTTTAGCTTGTTACCCTATAGAGGTCACAATTTTTATCCGATCTTGTTAAAACTTAAAATGTAAATTTATAACCCAAAGATCTCGCTTCCTTTCGATATTCGCGCATATCGGACCCTAACTTCCTGAATTATGGCCCCTGATTGTACAAAAATCGCGTTTTTAGCTTGTGGACACTATAGAAGTCATATTTTTTACTGTATTATTATATCACCGTTACACCCTAAGGACGGCTGAGTTTGAATTTCATGAAAATTGGCCCAAAACTGACAGACAAAATGGCCGCCCTTCGTTCTCAAATAGCGTGAAAATATGGTATTATCAAGGTTGTGGACCCTATAGAGGTCACAATTTCTATCCGATTTTGTTGAAACTTGAAATGTTAGTTTATAACTCAAATATCTCGATTCCTTTCGATATTCGCGCATATCAGACCGTAACTTCCTGAATTATGGCCCCTGATTGTTCGAAAAATCGCATTTTTAGCTTGTGGACCCTATAGAGGTCATAATTTTTATCCGATTTAAAAAAACATATTATGATATCACCGTTACACCCTAAGGACGGCTGAGTTCGAATTTCGTGAAAATCGGCCCAAAACTGACAGACTAAATGGCCGCCCCTCGTTCTCAAATTGCGTAAAAATATGGTATATCAAGGTTGTGGACCCTATAGAGGTCACAATTTTTATCCGATTTTGTTGAAACTTGAAATGTAAGTTTATAACCGAAAGATCTCGGTTCCTTTCAATATTTGCGCATATCGAATGGTAATTTCCTGAATTATGGCCCTTGATTGTAGGAAAAATCACTTTCGTTTTAGCTTGTTTTCTATCCATCTGTCGAAAATGTGGGCGTATCCTGCCTGGCAGCCGCTGGTTATGACTTGGAACAGCTAAATCCATGATATTAAAAGTTTTGTATACAAACCGTATCTTTATCTGATTTAAAAAAACGTATTATTATATCACTATTACACCCTAAGGACGACTGAATTCGAATTTCGTGAAAATTGGCCTAAAATTGACAGACAAATTGGCCGCCGTTTGTTCTCAAATAGCGTAAAAATATGGTATATCAAGGTTGTGGACCCTATAGAGGTCACAATTTTTAGCGGATTTTGTTGAAACTTGAAATGTAAGTTTATAACCCAAAGATCTCAGTTCCTGTTGATATTTGTGCATATCGGACCGTAACTTCCTGAATTATGGCTCCTGATTGTACGAAAAATCACATTTTTTAGCTTGTGGACCCTATAGTGGTCATAATTTGTATCCGATTTAAAAAATCGTATTACTATATCACCGTTACACCCTAAGGACGGCTGAGTTCGAATTTCGTGAAAATCAGCCTAAAATTGACAGACAAAATGGCCGCCGTTCGCTCTCAAATAGTGTAAAAATATGGTATATCAAGGTTGTGGACCCTATAGAGGTCACAATTTTTATCAGATTTTGTTGAATCTTGAAATGTAAGTTTATAACCCAAAGATCTTGGTTCCTTTCGATAATCGCACACATCTCGAATTGTAATTTCCTGAATTATGGCCCTTGATTGTAGTAAAAATCACTTTCTTCTTAGCTTGTTCTCTATCTCTCAAAAATGTGGGCATATCCTGCCTGGCAGCCGCTGGTTAAATTTTCTTTCGGTTTCAGTTTTCGGTTTTTCTGTGGCAAAAAACCTTGGTTTCAGTTTTGGTTTCGTTTTTTTATTCATTTAAACACTGTATTATGAATGTACTGATTTATGGTTATTTTTTAGGAATGCTTGGAAGCTAGAAAACATATCAAACATATTGATGTAAATTGTAAACAACAGGTTTTTTTTTACTGTTATATGACTTTAATTATGACTAGTAGTAGTAAAAACAAAGTTTAAAACCGTTAAAAAAATCTGACAAACTTTGTCAAACACAACACCATAATAATAAATTAATATAACAACATATTACCAATAACAATAAAGTTACTGTAAAAAAAAAGATGCAGCAGAAATATGTTTTTTACAAAGATTACATCTACATTTCGTGTCATCTAATCTTTCATAGTGAGCAAGCCATGGAGACATTTTACTTTTAGAGGAAGCCATCGTGTGTTATTGACACCCGGCTTAGGCTTGCATAAAAGTTTGGATTATAAACCGAACTGAATTGAGAAAATAAATAGTCTAGGCCATCCAGACTTATTGAAAACTCTATACATAGGGGGTCTGGTTGATCGAAAATAAAAACGG